AAAGTTTACAAACTTTCCCATTCTACAGACTCTTGTCTTAACATGTTTCGTATCTGACATATGAAGCAACAGTGTATGGCCTCTGAGCTTAGTGATTGTAATGTCACTGGATTCCAATGCCAGCACTTTGTACTATACCTGAGTCCCCAGGAGCAACCAGGGCTAAAAGGCCATAGCTCTGCAGAGAAGTTTGCATTATGAAGACCTACTTGATAATAGAAGGTAAGGTTTCTACCAGCCCAGGACTTAATATCCACAGTACTAGGGGTTTTTTTTTTTTTTTATTCCTGTATTGACTTTATTATGTACTTTGTTTCAAAGTTCCTTCACATTCTTTCTGAAAAAAGGCAAATCTTAAAGGAAATAAATACATGTAAACTTCATTTTAAATCTACTTATCAACACTGAGTAAGACATCAAAACATTTATGTTGGTTTTCTTAAAACTCGATTTTCTTATTTTCTTTGTTTTTCTTGCTTATGGGAGGCTCTAGATTTCCATAATGATCCACTTAAGCATATTCTGTCAGATTTTCAAGCCCAATCATGTTACCCAAATCCAGCATGATCTGAAAACTAATCAGCATACATTTCTTTTAGGAATAGCAAACAGGAGATGATGGAAAGACTTTATATATTCATTTTCCTCTAAGAAAGAATCTACCACAACAATAAATAATATTATAACCCTCCTTGTTTTTATTTGTTCATTTATAACAATTCTGTTAGAGAGTTTTACAGAGAAGTTTTATTTCCTCACAGCTAGTTTACTGCTCTTAAGGTGAGTGTGACTCTCCATCCTCAGTAGCTATTAGCTTAGTCAATGTATTCTAGGCTTATTTAAGTTTCAGGATTCATATCGTGTGACTTTTCCTCCCAGCATCCCATTAACTGTTTCAAAGCAATGTGCCATTAAAGTGTTGTGGCCATGTTTCTTGCTTTGTTATTCTCCCCACTGGTTCTCAAACTATTGATTCTATTTGCAGTTGAGGAAAAGATTTGTGCTTTTATTTAGCCTATAGTTTGATGTTGTCAGGTCTTTGGAAAGATCTTCCCTCTTTGGCCTTTAATGTTGATAGCTGACATTTTGGTGTACTGCTATAAAATTTTTCAAAACAATTTGTATCCCAGAAAAATGAGTGAAAATATTTCTGTGCATCTTTTATTTAGGTTGTAGTTAAAATTAAATTTGTTGGTTTGCCTGGTGTTCTCAGGAGGCACAGGCTATACACTTGTAGTATTGAATTCTCATAGTGGTTTTCAGATGACTATAATGGAATATCCATTATAACCTTATTACAATTTTAAAAATCTCACTGGTTGACAAAGGAAACATCATATGATGCTAGGGTTTTATAGCTGTGGTGGATAGAATCATATATCTGAGAAGCTAGTGCTAGTTTATTAAGGATTTAGGGAGGAAAGTAATTTCCATCTTATCTATAACTATTCAAGTTATTAAGACAAATTTTAGGAGTTTAAACTATAATTATTTATTTTACTCTTTTAGACTGTGTGTTGTTACGTTTCCATCTCATAGTAAGAGAAATTTATTAATATTGTTTTTAGTACCAGATTTTGAACTCAGGACCTTGCACTTGCCAGACAGGCCCCACACTGCTAAGCTATATCCCTGGCCCTAAATACAGTTTTCTAATTATACAGTGTTTATTACAGAAAACAGGGAACTGTCCAGATAAGAAATAGACCTGCCTATGCGTATCATAACTTTTTTTTATGTATATAGTACAGTGTCTGCAGGGTCTTACTACACAGATTGGACTCATAGTACTCCTTCTGTGTTCAGCCTCCCAAGAGGTGGGATTACAGGCGTGCACCACCATGCCCAGTCTCAGTCGCCGTCTCAGTGTGTGCCGGGGGCACAGCTGGCATGACATGCCGGGGTTGAACCCCGGTCTCTGCATCTGCATAAGCAGGCACTTTAGTCTGGTGAGCTATCTGGCCAGCCCAATATCATGACTATTGTTAACGTTTTAGTATAGTCAGGATTTCATGTCAATATGGCCAAGTACTCATCCTTCTCTAGCCTTGTCTTCTGTCCCGTTCCCCCAGTCTTAATCTCACATTAGGAATTTATTGTTCATGCTATTTTATGAATTAATTTCCAGTTGCTGAGCCATATTTTAGTTACTTAAACTTCTGTTGTTCCAACTTGTTGCTTTAAATAAAACTAAATTTTCCTTGCTGATGATTCTTCTGAATTTTCCTTAATACTTATGATTGAATACTTGCTATCGTAGAAATAAAGTTGGCCACTTAAAGTAACAGTAATACTTAAATACACATCATCCATTGATAAATTTTCATAAATTTTACTATCTTAATTTATATTTACCTTAAGAACTTTATATAGATTCTTTCTGATATATAGCTCTGAGTTTTGACAAATGCATACAGTTACATAACTAAAACCAGTGTAAAGAAAAATATACATATCCTCACCTCAAAAATTTTCTTTTGTTTTTTGCCTCTTGACTACAGAGTAAATTTATTATTAATGAAAATATAAATAAGTCAAAATAATAGAAACCATCCATAAGTGTACTATGTTGTGACCATTTTATAGAATAATTTTCTAGTACCCCTTTCTTACTACCTTAAGAGGATTTATTGCCTCTTCTGTTTATAGGACCTCCCCCCATTTTTACTTAGTATATTTCCAGAGTATGTGTTACATAATTCCTTAAGAAAAGCCCTAAAAGTACAGTTTTAGATCCCAGAGCATATGTATATTTTTAAGATTTAGTGCACTTTATCAAACTAATGCATAAAATGATTGTACCAGTTACATTCTGACCACCATTGTATAGGACAGCCTGCTTTCCAGCTTGGTTACCAATATTGTCTGTTATAATCTTAATTTTTTTGTCAAGTTAATGGATGAATACTAAAACCTCATTTTAATTTGTATTCTTTGATTTCTTATGTACTTAATTTCTTTTTCTTTTGACTCTTTTTTGGTGGGGGAATTGGAGAAGATGTGGCTTGTTTTTTAAATGCTCATGTGTTCAAACATTCTTGCTTGTTTGAACCTTAGGTGGTACATGTATGACTATGCCATCTGGTGATTTGGACCACTGGTGGTTAGCCATTTAGTATTAGATGATGGGATTCAAATCTGAGCTGTCCAGCAGCGAGATACAGAAGATACAGACCTGTTGGGAACATGTAACATCAGTGTTACACAGTTCCATGTTATCAGGTTTCTTTTCCTCTTTTAGCCATTTGCTTATTCTTCAGACCTTAGGATGCTTTGTTTCATGGAGGCTCTTGATGTGTCCATGCCTTTTCTATTTCCTTTATCTCCTAGGTGTGTGTGTTGAGTATAAAGCTGTCTTTCCTCTTTAGATATATAGTCATAATATTTTTTCCCAGTTTTGTGTCTCAAAAATTCTTTCTGCAGCTGAGCAATAGAGTGCTTGTCTGTCATGCACAGTGACCTGGGTTTTGATCCTGAGCACTGTGCATGCACATGTGCACATACACGTGTCCACAAACAACATTCTTCATTTATATTTCCCTTTGTATTCTGGTAGGCTACTAACATTTTTATGATGCTATATCATTTATTATGTTCTCACATATAAATTTATTTTTGTCTAATCTTAATGTTGTATTTATTCAAATGCTTTTAAGTAGCATGAACCATTCATTGAAATCTCGTTAAGAGCATACTGACATTTCAATGTACCCCAGGTTCTGTATCTTGTTATTATCCTATTTCCATTTTTGGTTTACACTTTAGACATTGTACATCTAACTTCTGTTATGGTTGGAAAAATGATACTTATTATATAAATTTTTTGGTTGTTTTTAACATGCTTCAGGATTTTGAAGACAAGGTAGGTAATGACACAACCCACAGAGTGCAAATGGATTCACCTAAACTAAGGAGAGAACTGAATAGACACACACTGAAATGTGCTAGGCAGGGCTTGCTCACTTTGGAAAATTGTATGGCATACGCAAAGGAGTATATTATTTTCTTCCAAGGACATGTACTTGATATTTGCTGAAAAAAATATTAAATTATTTCCTAGCTTGAGATAATATAAGCAGGTCCCTTCCATTAGGAACAAAGGACAATTAAATATAATTCAGAATGCCAGCAACAGTTTCAGGAAATAGTAGTTTCACTAATCCTGATAAACACCATAGTCATTTTTAATTCTCATTCTCTCTCTCTCTCTCTCTCTCTCTCTCTCTCTCTCTCTCTCTCTCTCCTCCCTTTCTCTCCTTCCTCCCTGTCTGCCTCCCTCCCTCCCTCTCTTCCTCTGTCCTTCCCTCCTTCCCTCCCCCCCTCTCTCTTTCTCTCTCTGTGTCTCTCTCTCTGATCACTATGAGTCAGAGCTACAGAGTGAGACCATACATACACACAAAAATATCCTCGTGATTTAGAAGTAGCATAACCAAAAGTCTTAAAAGTTACTTTCATTGTTATTTTTAATTATTCAAATAATCCAAATAGCTTTGAGCCATCTCCCACAACTGCTTTTTAATAAATGGGGAATAATTATATCTGTATATAGGTTTCTCTAGGTAATATGAGTTCTCAAAGTAAGGCTTGTGCACAAAGAGACATATAAGCATTTTTTTGTTTCAAGATGGTTAATAACCATGTATTTTATTCCAAGAATAAAATCCTAGTTTTATTATGTAAAATATTAATCCTTGAAATTATTTTTCAAAAGAAAAGTTAAATCAGACAGTCTGTTATGTGCTGTATTTTCAAGTTTCCAAACACATTTTGACAAAGTAGGACACAGCTGTTACACTTTTTTTAAAAGTACAATGCAGACTCGTTCTTTACATTTAAATACAGCAATCACCATCATATTAGGGTTTTTCTAGGGCAGAGACCTAATAGATTGCAAAAATCATCAGCTTTGTATACTTCTAATATGATTTATAGTTGACTTTTACTTTGCTGTGCTGTTGCTGCTTTTTCTTGATATAGTATATTCCTCATTTCTTTTTTAGGCTAAGCAGCTGGAAGAGAAAGATCGAATGATAAAGAAGCAGGATGCGTTCTACAAAGAGCAGCTGGCTAGACTGGAGAAGAGGGTATGGCTGTTTCTTGTCATTTATTCTCTTCTTTTACCACATCTGTCACTTTCCTATATATTTATTTAAAAAATCAATAAATTAGAACTGTATCTGCTTTTCGTCATTTAAAAAAGGGCCAGAAAACAAGCTGTCAGATAGGTCAGTGTCCTGGGAGGGTTGTTATTTTTGTTACTGTTGCATAATGTGTTCATTGATTCATTTTACTATTTGCGAACTCACCCACATGTTTATATACACATGCACACATGCAATGTGTTTGTAATTGACATTGCCTCCAGGTCAAGCAATAGAGTGCTACTCTTAACTCCTCCAAACACTGACTAAATATGAATATATTCTTAGAAATGGTACTGTTTTAAAGGATATATTGTTGTTGTGAAAACTGCATTTATGCATTTATGGCTAAGACGTGAATGTCTCCTTCAAAAGTGGTTCTAGGAACCAAATATTGGTACTTAAGAAAATTTAAGGGGAAAGAAGTAGGCTTAGACAGCATGGAATTAGAATTAGAGATACAGTGGAGGGAATTCAGACCAAAATGAAAGAAGATTGTCTTTCAGAATAGAGTATTTAAAAGTTGAATGTGTTTATTTATCTCCATGTCTGAGGACTGAATGCGTCTTGAATATGGGAACCATTTTCTCATTTACTCAACAGATATCTACTTACATACCTAATATATGCTAGACTGTGGCCTTGTGCTAGAGATATCCCAGTAAAAAAGTGAATTAATTATCTGTTCTTCTGAAACTTACATTCAGTTAAATACCAGCTATGCATATTGGAACTGAAGGGTTAGTAATATGAGGAACCTTAAATTAATAAGGAAAAGGTAATCCCAGGGGCAGAGTGTAGGTATGAAGTTTGATGGAAAAAGAAGGGAGGCACATCAGTGTTAAAACCCTGAGACAGGGTATGCTAGGAAGGCCAGAGGGTTTGTAAGAAAAAAAGCAGTCTCATGGCTACATTAGACATTAGTTGAAGCAAAGGGGAATTGGTGGAAGGTTAGTTCAGAAACAGATTGGTGATGGGTTGGGCGGGGTGCTAGCAATGAAGATAGTGATGTGGTAGAATACCTCAGAGATAGAGGCAAGTAGATTTGTTCGATGATGCTGAAAATGAGTAAAAAGAAAGACTCAAAGATACTTTAGGTATATGGATTTTGTAAGTACAAGAATAGATTTTTTTTATTGAGGAAGATTACTGAGATACAGATTAGAATGTCGATGGTGGAGGAAATCAGGAGTTTGATTTTAGATATAAGTTTGAGGCCTTCCTTTAGATATTCAGATGGAGATGTTGAGTAGCCATAAGTTAGAATGGCCATATATATTTTCTGTTGCAGCTTTTGAACTCTTCCTTTATAATATGAAATATAGTAAATATGTGAATGACTTGGACTATATACATACTATAGCTTGAATTTCAAATCACAATTTTTTTTTAAAATATGTCTTTTAAAAAATATATTTTTTGCTTATTCGTGGGGTTATATAAAAAATAGGTATTGCTGTTGATTTGACCCACAAGGAATAGAGAGTCTTCAAAAGTCTTCAGACCCTTCAAAGGGTCTGACATTAAAGGGCTCATATTAAAATTCCTCAAGTGGCATGTACCTGGAGTATAACTTGGAGCATCTTATTTAGCTTCATTTTCCTTAGGTGTAGGATGAGGATATAGTGGTACTTGTGTCACTAGCTTGTTAAAATGAGCCAATGCTCAACTGAGGAATGGATAAAAATGATGTTTTTATACAATGGAATATTAATTAACTATAAAGAAAGATGAGCTTGAGGATTTCATAGGTAAAAGGGTGCAGCTAAAGACTATACTCATTGTGATTAGTGTATTTTTATACAGGAAAGATTTTTCTTTTCATTTGGAAGATTAGGCTTCAAGGTAGTAACCAACTGAAAAGTTTCCAGTAACTTTATAATCCTGAATTGGACTGTTATATTACCATTAGTTAACAACCCTATATTTAGTTATATGGTAGAAAAGCATTAAACTAAGAGGTAAAGAGCATGGTTTTGTCCCTTAATTTCTTGTGGTCTATGGTTCTTCATCTGTAAAATGAGAATAAATACTGTTTCTTACTTAGTATTATGGGTTATGGGTCGGGTCCATTAAATGATGTTTCTAAAACTTCTTAAAAACTGCTGAGGATTTGACAAATGAGTTGTTGCCACCACCAAATATGTATTTAATTTTTTGTGTAAAATATCTTAATAATCACAAAATTACTCTAATGTTACTGAGCTTCCCCATGTCTTCTGCCTATTTTTACAAAGCGTTGCATTTATTTCTTATTAGCATTCCTACAGTACCTAAGTTGAATTTTTTCCTGTTGCTTTCTTGTAGAAATATTTTAGGTAATTAATTTTCTAACTGCGTTTTTTGGAGTAAACAGAAGATTATAAAGGAATTTTTGTCTTCTGTTTTTATGATGGTAAAGGTACAGGTACAGTACGTCACCATTTCTATGAGGCTTTTTGGATATTGTGTTAAGAGTAATGGATCCAATTTTATGGTGTAAGAAAACAGTGATAACATTAACTTGAATTATCCAGTTGCTATGAAATCCAAGTTGCTGTGATTTATGCTGAAAGTAGATATAGACTTATATTTTCTTTTAACCAGATGAAATGATAAAGGCTTGAAATCAGTACCAGTAACATATTATTGATGAAGAAGGGGGATACCAAGTTTTTCATCAAATCATTCTAAGTATGATTCCTGAGATAGCTTTACTGCCCATCATTAGATTAACACATTACTCATATACATTATTACTTTTTGATGAATTAATCATATTAAACCATTCATTTTCATTGGTTTGATGCAAATTTCTTTTGCCAGTATGAATGAAATTTTACAAAGCATATAAAGCACCCTCAATTCTGTAATACATCTTGGTTTTCCTTTTGGATCTATATCAATAAACCATCAGACAATTCTCATGTATCAGTACAGCTTTCTCTTTCCTGTTATTATGTTGGCTGAGATAATTTTCCCCTTTGACTAATTTGTAAGGTATAATAACCATAATTTCACTAGATACCATTTTTATTCCTCTTAGAATTGGTATTCAAAAGCAGTAACTTTACTGAGAAAGAAGGTCAGAGCCATTTGAAAAGTTCTGCGGATGCTTATTTCCTAGTCAGACAAATGTTGCTGACTTCCCAAACAGCACTGCCCTGTATGTGAAAATAAACTTTTAATCTTTAAAAGCATTCGAAGTGTCACATTTAGGTGTCTAGCATGAAACAACTTGGAGAGTTTTAATTCTTGCTTGTTAGTGCAAGAGATCTGAAGAACATCAATTCCTGGCTGGTGATTTGGTGTGAGGAAGCCAAGAGCAGCCTTCAAAGAGAAAACTTTGAACTGTTTTTAAGGAACCTTCTCCAAATTCCTCAGGGAATTCTGTTTTTTTCCTTTCACCTTTATTAAGTATACTTAACAAATAAGTCTGTAGTACTGTATAAGTCTCTTTATGATGGCATATATTTATAATGGCCATGGTTAGCTATGTGTGTTTTATCTTTTACACTTCTTGAAGGCAGATCTCATTCTCATATTTTTGCAGTTTCCACAGGAAATACGGTGAATGAATGAACCTAAGATTTACTAAGTTTATATCTTAAAGTTATGTCTACACGGTGTGTAGTTTTAAAATATGCACAATATTTTTATTCAGTTAAATTAATAATTCAAGATTATCCTATATGAAGGTTGTTTAGCTTCAAGTATTTTGATATTATTTGTAAACTTATGGTTATTGTAGCTAATGATGACATTTAGTGAACATTTACATTGTGTTAGACACTGCATGGGTTATTACATTTTATTCTTACAAACAACCATGTGAGCTGTCCCATCCTATTGTTTAAGTAAAGATCCTGAGATTTAAAGTAACTTCCCCCAGAATATTATCCAAAACATAATAGATGAGGATTTGAGACAACTTTATCTTCTAAACTGTTAGCTATCGTTGTCTTTAGTATGTATCAGTTCTAGGCTGGTGAGACAGCTCACGGACTAAGCACCTGCTTAGGCAAGCACAGACTCCAGACTTTGATCCCCAGCACTACGTGTAGCACCAGCCTGGCTCGTGGGCATATGGAGTGGACCACCGAGGCTGGCATGGTGGTACACGCCTGTAATCCCAGCACTGAGGAGACTGAAAACAGGAGGATCGTGATGGATCTGAGCTGCATAGTGAGACGCCTTACCAACTACATTAAAAACAAAAAAATTAATTCTTAGTTCTATACTTAAGTTATGTTAATTGTAGTGTTATACCAAGTTATAGCCACTGGTTTCTACTAGTAGTTTCATAAAATGCTACAACTAAACATTGTAACTTGATTATTATTGCCTAATAAACTGAAAGTATTAAGGATTAAAAAATACAGTTTCTTCTCCCAAATTTGGTACTTATTGTGGAAAGTGACCAAATGGGTATTGGTCTTATTATTTAACAACTACAATTTGGTACTTCTAGTTCAGCTTTTTTTCAGTTTGAAATAAAAGATTGAGTTATTTGAGCACTTTGAAAATTTTTTGAGGTGCTCATTCATTTGCTAAAACATTTATGTTATTACTATAGGATAGTCATCTTATTCTATCTTCCAGAAAGTCATTAGACTTTCTTTTACTTTTGCTAAATTGAGTTGAATGTTGTTTCATTAGCGTCTGTAGTGTTTGTATACTCATTAGAAAAGTGGATATTTTCTAGTAGTCTGCTGGTCCTGGGGAAAGAAAACTAAGGGACCTCAGCTGGGGTCCAAGAGGATCCAATCTTTTTTCTACCAGGGACGTTCCAAAAAGGTGTGTGTCTCCCCAGGACATGTTAAAGATTTGACCTCTTTGAGGATTGGTGTGTCTTGCATGTGTAACTTTTCAATTATAAACTTGAATTAATTTGCTCTACTGAATCCACTTTGCTCTTGGCCTACCTGGAGATGGTGGGGTTGGGCACAGCGTGAAGGGAGACA